CCTGGGAACAAAAACAATATGTTTGACCTCCCTTGTAAGTAGCTTATTATTATAAGAAGTTGCACAATATCCAAAAAGCAACAGGAGAGAGTGCAAGTGATTATACACAATGAGAAAAACATTTCCTGCTCGGCTGACAGGCGGCTGACTGGCGGTGTTTGAGACGTTACCTCCAGCCGTGGACACGGAAGCCGGGGCACTTGTCCCCACAGCGCGTACAGGGCTGCCCTCTGTCTGGGTCCTCTTCCTCCTGCTGAAAACAAAACACAAACTCACTTCAGTGCACATCGTCTCCCATTGGAGAACCATTCACACCTTTTGGGCGCAAGAGAGTTAAAGGTTAGAACAACTATAGGCAGGCACATACAGGGCTCGCCATAAACGGCCGCAGCATCAACATCATATGGAGCTGGTGAGTGTTTCCACTTAAGCCACAAGTAGAATGTACTCAGAGTCAATCTCCTCAGCCTTTGGTTCAGCAGCATTTGGGGTGGGCCGTCTATAGATTTCACATGCACTACTTGATGACGCCAATTTATGAAAATCCCACATCATCATGTCACTGTGTGTGTGTGTGCTTGAACTGGAGATATAAACCATTGAAATGGCTAAAATGGTGGCGAGTCTAAATATACACCTCTGTGCTCAACATGTGTTTTCATGCTCATACATTACATGGTTTTCTTACAGCTGAATGTGCAGTAATCTCTGCTGTATTCACTATAATATAATAAGGAATGAGGACTAAATCTTGCGGGGGGTGTTAAACCTGCCTTCAAGACACAAAAATCAGTGAGTGAATGATATCCAGAATGTTGCCACTATATAAACTTGTTTTGTAACAGATGGGATGAACAGTATAAAGATGGCTGTACAATTTCAAAAGTGTCTTTTTCCTCAAAAATGCTGAGCAGTGCATCTGATTTAGCCAACAACTAAACCAACCACCTGATATCTCACTTGTGCTTCAATCCCTGCAGCATATGTGTGTGTGTGTGTGTGTGTGTGTGTGTGTGTGTGCAGAAACAAGCCTCGTTTTAGAGATGAGAGGAAGGAAGCAGACTCAGGATGAGAGCTGCACCCTTTCCCTCTCCATGTAGTCCCTTTGTCTACACTTTCTTTTTCCCCGATGCCTTTATTCTACAGCACCTCATATCTTCTGTGATAGAAGTTTACTGTTGACAGAGAACATTTGTCAGCTATTTTTCTACTTTTTGAAAGGATTAAAGTCAAGTCAATTATATTTGTATGGCCCAATATCCCAAATCACAAATGTGTACAACATACGACACCCTCTGTCCTTAGACCCTTGATTCAGATGAGGAATAACTCCCTCCGACAAACCCTTTAACAAGGAAACAATGAAAGAAACATCAGGGTTCTGTGGCGCTGCTGTTTTCCACTTCACCATTTGGAGAAGAAGGACAAAGCATGTGCCTCATATGCACTTCTGTCAGCAAAAAGAGCGAGACCCCATATTTGCTGCCATTTTGGCAAGTTTTGAAAATAAGCTTTATGGGCAAAACTTAAAGGAGACATATAACGCTAATTTTCCGGTTGATGCTTGTATTTGGGGTTTTGTAGTAGAACATGTTTCCATGCGTTAATGTTAAAAAAAACACATTGTTTTTCTCAAACTGTCTTTCTGAATAAGCTTGTACTCATCTTCTGTCTGAAACGGTCCGTTTTTAGCGGCTGTCTCTTTAAGGCCCCCTCATTGAAAAAGCCCAGTCTGCTGTAAGTGGTCAGCGTTTTTCCGGTCTTCCTCATCTGAACTGTCGCCATCTTTGCAGTGTCATTGCAGCCGGAAGCTCTCTGAACTCTGTGTGTGTGTCAACTACACAGAGTTTAGCTGCACTTCTACTGGTGACATCACAACCTTACCGAAGTCCTGACGGCTCGTTTAAAAGCCACAGTTTCTGAATACGGGCTGTGTGCATATTGAGTCTTTTGATAATTTCACTGTAAATAAACAGCACCTAAACCTGCTTCATATTTAAAAAGACATGAAAATCTTACGTTCTACGATACCAACTATGACAACTATATTTGCTCTTCTCAAGCGCATGAATAAACTGCACATTAAGATGCAGAACACACACATGCGCACAGACGCCGGCAGAGTTTAACGAGCAAAGCAATAAAACGCAGATATGTGATACAGCGAGGTTACCTGTGTATACCTGCTCAGCTGTGTTTTTAACGTCGTCTTTCCAACCACACACACCTTCAGAAGGTAACCATAAACCAGTATTCACATCAAGCCTGTGTTTCCCATGCACAGTTCTTTATGAACAAAACCACGAATGCATGACTTTGATTGGAGCGACGCTGAGTTTGCTTAGCTTATCTCACTGATAGCTCAGGGTTGATTGTATGGGTTGTAAGGGCGTTTCTAATGCACTGAGAAACCATTAACTGGGAGCAATAAGAAGCTTGCTTTCTTGTATTTTTGAGCATAAAATCGTTTTTATGCGCTTTTTAAAAAAATATTCTGTTTTGAGTACATGTTTCCAGGACTGAGATATTAGGCTATTTGCAATGATGACTGTATCCAGAACTCGTTAGTCAAGAAAAGTCCCACATGACAGGAAACAATGATTTACACGCTGTAATTTAAATGCCTCGCCGTGTTGTGTGCGCTGGTGTCTGCCTATATTAATAAACACGTTCAATGTCGTTAACAGAGCCAGGTACGACAAGGTGACAAGACGGGCTCAATGAAGCGTACAGATGATTTCTGGGTGACTGGACCTTTCAGTTGTTATTTCCTCATGGAGTTCCTGAGCTGTCATTCTGACATGGGGACTGAGCCGGCGGTAGCACATTACAAAGTGCCGGTACATTTAACACCGGTGCACAGGGAATGAAAGTGAATCAATTGTAGCTGACCTGAAGCGATTACACTTTAGGGTACTAAGGGAAGTTACAGACTTTCCACGCAATGACATGACGCTTTATATGTTCATGTTTTCATTGCCATGTTCTGCACTTTCTGATGCCGATGGGTGAATTATGAGTTTGAAAACGTCCACGTCTGGCCACTGAGGTTAATCCTCTGATTGGAAATAGAGAAGTTCTTGTGTTCTTCAGAATCCGGAGCGAGTGATGAGATGGAGGTCTGCCAACATCAGATTAGACTCAGCACAACGACCGTGACTAATTCTAAAACTGAGTGAGATAAAAGTGATGAGGGGGCTCAACATCGTCAACATAAACACTCACTCACTCACTTAAGGGGAGATTGTAATTAAGAGTTAAGCACCAGTACAATCATGACGTAATGAAGGATTAGAAATTCTAAAAAAAGCCTTAAACTCACTCGTACTCTCAAAACGAGATGATCTAAAAGTAGATATTACAGAGGAATACTACGGGGAAAGACTTGTTTAAAAGCACAAATACAGACTATCAACACAGCACTGAAACTAATACAACAGAAATATTCAGATCTATCCTGATCACTTTGCACAAGGCAGCGACCTTGGTTAGTATGCCTGCTTCAGGCTGGGAGAGTGACTACGCTGAGGGGAGAAAGTATGAACAACCTTAAACCTGCAGTGCGGTTACAGGAAATGACGTCCTGCCTTGCTTTGGATGAATTTACCTTTGTGGTCAGAGGGAAATCAAATTAATTCAGGGAAATGTGGAACACTTTGATGCAATTCCTGGAAAGTGAGGGTGAAATTAATTCGTGAAATTGATAAATACACCAAGACAACAAGCACCTATGAATAATACTATACCCCTTAGTTATTAGTATAAATATGTCAATGAATGTAAAAAAAACTCACTTGTACTATTTGCTTACTACCTACTCAGAGCTATACTTACGTAAAAGCAGCAAACGTCAAATTCAAAACGTTACTTGATTAAAAATATAAAAGTATGAGCATTAAAGTATACTTAAAATACCAAAAGTAAAAGTATTTTTTGTGCAGAATGGCACATTTCAAATTCACACACATATATATATATATATATATATATATATATATAAAATTGTATTATAATTAGTGATGCATTATTAAGTAAGCATTACTAACGTTGCAGCTGGCAAATGTGTGGTTTGATTAATATACTGCTGGGTGACTTAATCCAGAAAAATAAAACACAAAAAATATTTTGTATATTTTGCATTAATAATCTGACCCTGAAAAGTGACCACTGGTAACTAAAACTGACAAAATAAATGTAATGAAGTGGAAAGAATGGCCTCCAAAATGCGGTGTACTAGAAGTTCAAGTATCATAAAATGGAAATACTCTGACAACATACATCAAAACTGTACGTGCAGCACTTGAGTAAATGACCAGTATTTAGTCCCGTTATATGCTAACGGACAACAAGAGAACATCCGAGAGGCACAACAATGAATACAAGTTTGACGAGGTCACGCTCCATCCTCAAAGGTTCTGTTTGAAACCCAGGAGAAGGTCTCATCTGGAAACATGTCCGAAGCTGCATAACAACCTGTCAACTTGGTTCTAATTAACACAACATCAAACTATGTCGTGACATCTTGGGTGCTCCCAGCTGTTGTTTTGTCCTCGTTAAAAAGGTTCATTTCAATAAGCAGGAAGCTGTAATTTACTCCTTAATGACTGTTTTGATGGCAACAGAAAGAACAACCTTTCAGCCTTGAACATTAGCCTTCACCAGTTACTTCTACATTTCCTTGAATGTGTCCTCCATGTCGACTAGTGCCCTATATGTCAAGGCTAGGTTCGTCTATTGCGCTGCAAGTGAAGAGATGTGATGGGAGCGTTGGTAGGACATTTTCTTCTAAACTGTGTGTGGGTAAAGTAAATAATACAATCACACAAGTTCACATCAGCTCACATGCTCCCTCTCTCTCTCAGACCGGCGTCAGACTTTTTCATATCAGCTCCTTTGTTTTCACTAAGTGGGTGTGAGGTTTGATCACATGCCGCGCTGCCTTGATTTGCTTGAGATCTCCTCTGCAACCAAGTAACCGTGTAACCGGGTCATGGGCAAACTGAGAGTCGGACAAATTTGTTCTCCGAACATCCAACAATGAATATAAGACAATGGATGCACCCAAATGATGTCGTTGGGACGCACTAAATGCTATGCGAGTGTTGCCTCCTCAGGTGGGAGGGTATGGGGCTCTGCGCTTCAGATGATTAACCTAACAGAAGACAATGATTGTAATTGTAAGTTTCGCTCCTCTCTTTCGATGTTGCGGTGAAGGAGGGGTTAAACATTAACAGTAGAGGTCAGAGGTCAGGGGCCTTTGCAGCCTTGCCACACTGGACAGGATCAAACAGACAGCACCTCTCACAGCACTTCTTGTTGCTCTTATGCATCGCTGTTAAACAAAGTTTAACAACTGGACGTTTACAAGTGTCATTCTGCAGGTCAGACAGAAATGTGTATCTGTGACAGCGCTGTTGTGAGTGGGGACTTGATAGACTTTTAGGAGGAAAAGATAGATACTTTATTATACAGCACAGGTGTTACTAATGACACTAACGACGGCTCCCTTCCACGACAGTGTGCCAGCATGCAGAATAACAGGATCCTGAAGCAGCTAAATGGGTTTTTAAGTAATTATCACATTTATTACGTACACCTGTGTTTTTGCTACTGTGACATGTCAAAATGTCCGTTGTGAAAAAGGCTAATTGCTAGATATGCAGTTAATGACGATCTAAAAAGGTATTTATAGCTAAAACAAATAGGCAAACTGGTTATTGCAACGGCTAACTAGCACATCCCAGGTTAAGTGCACAGTGTCACACGACAAAAGATATAAAACAATCACACAATAACTGCAGAAAGGTTTTGTCGTGCGACAATTTGTTTAAAGGTTTCTTTAATCGGTCGTTTATTTTATCTGACTTGTTTCATTTTTATAGCAGATTAAAATTAATTAAAAGGTTAAAAAATGATTGCAGGTGATGTTGCTCTACAATGATAATACACAACAATATATTCCATTAATTGTAGCTCTACTGCGATGAAAATCCTGCTCTGATAATTTACAAATAATTTGTTGTTAACTTGTTAAAAAGAACTAAAGTGTTTAAGATACACTTTGCACTTGTTGACATCTGTGTTGTAACATGATTCCAAACTCACTTTTCAAGTGCCGATGTAATGGAGTGTTGGAGAATAAAATATTGATGTTATTCATTAATACTTGACTGTATTCATTGTGCGAGTCAGGTGGGAACAGGGGTGCTAAATGTGTTAGAATAGTGCTAAAGCCATTACTTAACTCTTTGCACGTTTTTTTTGCACATTACAGGATCTAGGCATATATTAGATATAAGTGGAGAAAAATAACGTCACACTTTACGCACAATTCACTCAAATATTGTACTTTACTATAATGAAGTAATGAACACAATGCATCGATAATTATAATCCAATAATATAAAATACATGTTGCATAATGAGCACTTCTAGGCATATTTTGATGCTAATACTTTTGTACTTTTATTACATAAAATTTAGAATGCAATACTTATACTAAGCAGAGTATTTGTACACTGTGGTATTGCTACTTTTACCCAAGTAAAATATCTGAATACTTCTACAAATGTATAAACACAGAGTTAAACTAAAAATGTAGAAAGGGGTATTATGGTCTGGTTTGCTATTAGACTAGTGCATTAAAGTCTAAGATTTTTTATTTTTTACAGCAAGTATTGTGTTAGTTGGATTTACAGTCACTGTCTGGATATAATCCAAGTGTGCTGCAGAGCCAGATGTTTCACGGCCACACAGATGTTAGTCTGGTCCGAAAACAAGCTTCATTTGGTTAGTAACCTGACCGTATAGGCTGTGTTTCTGGGCAACATTCCAGCTATAGCACGCAATCTAACAGGGCATCAATTGTTGTTGTAATGAAAACCTGACAAAAGATAATAAACATGTTCAGTTTACAGCAACCACATCACCGACCTGCTCAGGTAAAAAATAAATGTCTATGACGTCGTCTGTCCTGACTGGGACCTGGGGCGCCCGAAATGACTCAAGAATCAAACAATGTACTTTCTGGTACACAGTATAATAAAATAGAACAATGTAATTTAGCATAAGTGTTGGGAAGAAGTGGGATATTCTTTTATTACATTTTTTACAAAAGAAAACGTGTAGGCTACCGACACAAAAGCCAGGTGAAGGTGGACAAAGTTCCGCTCGGGCTGTTTTCAATAGCCTACAAGTTCATTGCAAGTCTTAACTATTACAACGAAGCAGACAAAATACCTTAAAATAAACCTAAAGTATGTTTTATGTCAAAAGAAGATGCTAGCAAAAGTGTTTACTAAAGTTGTGAAAGTAGTTGAGAAATAAATGGCAAAGAAAAGTAGTCCCTTACCGAGCGGTTCGATCGTCGCTTTTTAGATCCGCGCATGAACATGATGTCGGTTGGATGTTACCAACACAATGATGTGATTCCAGATGAATAAACGGAGGTCTAAATATTTGTATTCACAGTCTGTGTTGAACACACTACATGATGTCCCCCCTCAGACTGCCCCGGACTCCTCCTTCCGCCTTAGCCAACTACTTTGGCACCTGAAAAGCTAGCCTAACTGAAAAAAAAAACACGACTTCCGGCTGGTCTTTCAAAGTAAAATACTTCTTAATGTCCAAGTTCGACATTTCTTTAGCAGGCCAAAACTAAAAGCAAAATTAAGATATATGTTTTTTATTAAATACTCATAAAAATGTTTTATTGGTCATAATGTTTACCTACAAAATCTTTAATTTCTAACAAACTGCGGTCGCTTTTATTTCGAAGGTGTGAGCTCCGTTCTGACAGTAGCTATGTAACTTGACGAAGCTCCAACCTACCTCCCCTGTCCAGAAACCTGAACGCAGGCAGCCAACAGTCCTAAAGTTTGGCCTTCACTTCACCTAGGCTACAAGTACATACAAGTGCAATCAAACCCTTCTTTCTCGACTCGAGACTGGTTCATATTGTTACAACAGGAAAACATTCAGAGCATAGGAGGAGTCAGTTTAATAAATATTCCTACATATCAATTTGGTCAAGGAAATATGAACACAGCTGTGTTTGGAGGGAAACGTCATTAATACACTCTGGCCACTACAGCAGCCTTAACATGGGGAATTAGTTTGATAACAAGTCAGTATGGCCCCAAACAACAGATTATCATTCCACTGTAGGTCTCTAAAATGACATTGGGCTAGTGTACTGTAATAGTTATTGCAACGGAAAGACAGGAAAACCTGCATGGGAAAAGGATTTTCATAAACGTGATGTGATCTCAAAACGAGAAGAGTGGGGCAGCATGCATAACTGTCTGCAGTAGAAACATATCAAAAGAGATTAGAGATCACAGATGCCTGCTGCACCAGGTCAGTACAAATCGTGGCAGAGTGTAAAAACATAGTTCCTGATCAAATCTGAATACTAACAACCTAATGAGTGACTGCAGCAAACACAACTATAGTCATGTTGACGCTTTTGTTAGGTTGACTCTTATAAACTTAATTACTAACTCTTAGCTGATGGGATAGAGGGAACCTCCATTTAGCAATGTGTCTTCTTCCCTCTAGTGGCAATCTGAGAGAAGACAAGTTACAGTGAAAATACATCCAGCAAACATATGCAGTCAGTTCAAGTTCTTGTTGAATAAAGACGTTTTCAAACATCACGGTTAAAATGTAAGATTAGTGAACAATTTAAGTAACAAAAACAAATTTCTCTGTAGTAACAATGGCTTTTATTTCCCAAAGCAAGGCTGCTTTGAATTTTGAAATTAAACAGCAGACTCTTGTAAAGCATGTTAAAAAAAACCAGTAAGGCAATGTTTTACTTGGACAAATAACAACCGAATGGGAGAAGGAACAGTTACAGAAGATATTCAAATTGTGCTATTCACATCATAAAATTCAAACTATGTGATTTTTCTTCATCAAATAAACCTGAACCAAAGAAACTGGACCCCACTTCTGGACTGTATAAAATGGCAACATGTATTCTGCACCTTTAAAATGTATTACAAATGTAAGAAAGGAAAACAACCTGAGCAAGAATCAAAGTAGACAGGTGAAACTGGACACTGTAATTAAAATAAGAAACATGTTGCTGATGGTTAATTGACATCTAATGATGCAGACTCAACTCTACTTAGTACAGAAACAGCCAAAAGTTTGCCGACTCAAATGTTTAGGCTTCAAGAGTATAAGATGAACAACATGAAGGAACTTGTTAATTAGAATGACAGTCTAAGGCACTGAAACACACGGGGAGAACTCTAAAGAGATGATTAAATAACAGAGAAGGAAATGTTTGTCCAGCTGAGGAATCTCTCTGGAAATACAGGAAACACAATGAAGAAGTGAATCATTATGATGTTAAACAATTCCTTAAACACCACATGCATGTGTCAGTTACTTCTAAAGTCCAAATGACACAGTTACTACTCACTACAACGGTCCATTAAACAATATACATGTGTATTAGACAAGCTGCTTGATGACAACCAGTCTATTATTTACTGTTTCCCTTTTTTTAAATCAGTGGTTCATTGAGGTTGGAGTAAAGGTTTAATTCCTCTTGTTGCAGACAAGATTTTGTCTTAACGTGCAGGTACAGATGTTCAGTACCACTCACTTACATCGTGCTCCTCTCAGGCACGGCCCTAAAAGAAATCTCTCGTCTGTTCACACCATACAGTGGCATTGATTAAACTGTGACCTGAACATTGTGCTGTCCATCGTCCTTTGTGATCCACTCTTACGTTAACCTGCATAAATTCCTCTTCTTATGTTTTTCTGCTGTGTTCTTGGCAGAAGCACATGTGTCTTGGAGTGTTTAAACTCTGTCGTCTGTATAAAAAGAAAAAGTAAGACAAACTTGTTGAACACATGAAATAAGGCAGATTATTGTCATATAGAGCGTGTTTTTAGTGTATCAGTCAAGTGAATATCTGCTGCACTCACCGGTGGAAGCTGCCGTGTGCTGCCTGGTGCTCTTGATTTGCAAGTAGATGATGTAGGTGTCATAGGCAAACAGCAGACCGGCAATCAAACCAAACACCTAAGGAACAATAACCCAGGATCAGAATCACAATGATAATATAACTCACCGTCCACATAAACCTCAGTGTTGATTAATGCAAAAAAAGAAGTAGAAATACTAGAAAACACTGTAATATAAAGTCATATTTTATGTTACATAGCTACAGACAAGTGACTTTCAAAATTTAAGATCTGTTGTGCGGCTCACACCAGAAGACGTACTGATTACAAGATCACAGTCACTGTGGGTCAAATTTGTGTCAGCTGTTCAGGTGCAGATGTAATGTATTCAGTAGTGTCAAACATATACGCTACGGTGGCTCACGCAAAAACACAAAAGGTCCTATCTAGAGCCAGTGTTTGGTTTGTCCATTCTGGGCTACTGTAGAAACATGGCGGTGCAACATGACGGACCCCGTAAAGAGGACCTGCTCCGTATGTAGATGTAAACGGCTCATTCTAAAGTAGCAAAAACACAACGATTCTTATTCAAGAAAACATACTTAATATTATATTCTATTTCTGCCAATAGATCGCCCTAACTGCTACACACTGTTCCTTTAATCGTAATGCCACTACAGGCTCTGTTACTACATTTACCTCAGTTTTATAACCTGCTGTTATTTGTGTGTGCATTTTTGATGTTTGATATCATTCCAGCTCCTTTTCATTTCCCATGAAGCTCGTTTAATGACTCTTATTGCATTAAAAATATAATTAGTGGCTGCACTCTAAATGGATGCCACTCTTTTTTTGTCTCAGGCTCATCTCCAACTACAAATGCAGCCTTTTCATTGGCTACGATCATTCAAACCTGTTTGAAAACTGTCGCTCACAACAACGTGAAGACAAGTCTCTGACCTGCATGAACTAAAGGACCTGTGGATTCAGTTTGTCTGACACTGTGACAAAGTCTCGTGCTCTTTACTAGACTTAAACAGGAAGGAAGCAGGAGATATGGTTTGAAATGTTCATGTTACTCAATAGTGACTGAACCCTTTAGTTTCCACATCTATGAGTTCCTACACCTACAATAAAACAGATTAATCGATAACAGTTAATAGTTGTCAAAACAAGCAATAAACATATGAGCAGTTTCAGGACAGTTTGACTCACCCCGCCTGCAATACGAGCGCCGTCCCCGGAACCTCCAATCACGTTGATCAGAGAGACGATGAGGTAAAGGACTGCACCAATACCAGCACGGAAAAGGTCCTGCACAAAGGAGGGAAGCGGAAGATGAAGCGGAAGATGAAGCCTAGTGCAACGAGGCAGTGTGTGTGTGCGCGTGTGTGTGCTTCCTGTAAGATAGTAAGACACGCAGAGGACTCACGCTCCAGACCCAGTTGACCACTAGGATTTGCTTGTCCACCTCCATCATGAAGATGCCGAAGAAGACCATGGAGAAGATCATCTCGCAGATGGCCACGGAGGAGTAGCCTCCAGTGTAGGATGCACCGTAGCAGATGATGATAATGAAACTGATGAACTGAGACGGATTGAAGGGAAAAGAGAATGTTGGGGAAAGGAATTAAAAACGGGAGAGATTAATGATTTTGAGGATGGTGAAGATATCCCACAATACTTTAGGGTTATTAACAGATGCCCAAATGTCTCTCCTGTCAGACTTTACAGGTGGCAAATCATCTGAATGCTCAGTAACAGAAAAAAAGATCTGTGTCCACTTCAATAGCCGAAGCCAGTCAGACAGTAAATCACTCCAAACAAAGGCCTCGTTGTTTCATTTACTCCAGTCAGCTTACAATTCAACATCCACATAATAACAAGCCTTTTATCAAAGAACTAAATATTTTCTGCACAGTGAGACAACTGGATGGACTATAATGCACTCTGTCAGTCTGTCCATCACATGCTGCTTTCTTCTTTACATTACCAGCACACGTTTGTTACATCAAGATCTTATTTTTCCACACGAGGAAAAAATAAAAAATAAAAAAAAGTCAGCGGGCATTCTTCTCAGTCCATTCCACTGAAATGCTGCCAATGTGCAGAAATCATAAACTCAGGCAAGCAGCCTACGGCCCTCAACCAGTATCGGCCGTTTTGTTGTCTATACAGCTATTGTTCACTGCTGTGAAACTGTGTGGGTGGATACATTCACACCACACGGACATATGACAGCTGTGAAGGAGTGTCCATTTCAACGGATTAACAGTACAAGTCATTACATTAAAGCATTTAGTTTATTGGCCTGTTCTACAATATAGATTCATAATACCTGTGCACTGTCATACACATTTGCAAAACTTGCGTTTACAAATGTGACATATGTACATTTTTATATACTGGAAAAATTGCACGGCCATCCAAACAGTGTGCCAATAACACTTTAAGGTTGCAACTAACAAATATGTTCATTATACATTAATCTGCTGATTTCTTTATTTCTTTATTGATTAATTGTTCTGTCTAAACAACATCTCAAACCACTACAATGTCTTTTTTGTCTGAAGGACAGTCCAAAACCCCAAAACATTCTATTAACTACAATTCAAAACAAGGAAAATCTATATTTTCACATTTGAGAGACTGGGACCGTTACATGTTTTGCTTGAAAAATGAATTACGATTAAAAAGTATTTAATAATTTTCTTTCGAATGACTGATTGATAAATCTTTGCAGTTCTAATACACTTTAGTACTATATGACATACATTAATATTTTCCTATCCTCAAATATAAAACGCGTACTTAATGAATCAGACTGACGTATATATTTTTTTAAAGCACATTGCAATGTTTTATTCTCAGACACAGACGACTCAGGAGCCAGTGTCAAATCTCTGCAGTCTAAATGATACACGCATGATGTAACCGACACTAGTCCTACATCTGTCACTAACGCTCCCGCTCCCCTCACCCGCAACTGCTGCACAAACGCGCAGCCAGCTAGCCGCATGCATCAGTAGTTCATGTGTTCTGGAGGCCGGCACAGGCTGCCTCTGTAGAGTAGCCAGGCGGGCCGAGGCCAAGGTCCTACACAAAAGAGGCTTTATACGGGGCCAGAGCCGGCCGTCACACAGAGAAACACCCGCGAACACAAGCGTCCCTCAGAACAAGAAAGGCTGCGAGATGTTGACACCTTTATGTCTCCTAGAGCTGCGGATCTGTTTGCATGGGTCAGCGTTTAGGATCCCAGCGAGGGTCTGTTCACATCAGTATAATGAGCTGCTCTTTTAAAAAAAACAACTGGAGGGAAATAGTTGCGAACGCTCGGCTAATTATAGTCAGCAGCAGCGTCAGAGCCAAGAGCTCGTCCGTTGTACGGAGACACACCAAACAGCAACGGTTGTTAGGGAAGTCACCTACATTTTCTCAGTAAAGTGTACAGAGAGAGAAAAATGGAAAGTTCAGTTTAATTTCATCACTTTCTCGCTTATCATGACACCTCATCATTTATTCAACTGTCATTCGTCTGCCTGCTTTCCTCCCTTTAAGACAAAAAAGGGGAGATCACCTAAAAAATGCTCTCCAGTCATAAGAGAATGTGACCGCTTATTAAAAGTGATATTAAAAGTGAGGTGAAAGATCAGCTCAGTACATGACTCACACTCACTTATCGCTCCTGGCTGAACCACACCACATGACAAACTGAATTTGACTTTACATGGGTGTGTGTGTGACTGTGGTCTTTATGTTGTTCTGCAGCTTCAAACATGTTCAAGTTTGCCTTTCGACAGCCAGATTAACAGCTAAATAACTAAATGTAATTTGACGAGCCATGACGGCCTTGTTGACACAATTTACAGACAGCAGATTTATTCCTTTAGATTTGGTTTTATCAACTGGAGGATTTAAAACTGGCTGCTGGGGTTAAATACCCAATCTCCCAATAGATTGGACATAACAAGCATTAATGACATTTGCCTTCCTGTTTGCCTCCCACACCCCTCTCTCCCTGCCCTGTAAGCAGTTTTAGACATCCACCATCAGAGATGACTTCCTTTAAAAAGGTTCATCAGGCTCCTGTAAAGACGTGAGTGGGCGAGGATACAACAAACTACCGAGTGTATCCACTGAAGCTATCTGTGATCGGCACACCAAAAGATGTGTGCTAAGCAATTCACACATTATTTGTTCCCAGGAACAAGCTTCACACACAGCCTGGAATTTCCATTACTTCTGGAAAAAAAAAGAAAAAGACTTTACAGTGGGCGGACCACTGACCACCAACATCTGAAAGCCTGCTTTATAACGAGTCCATTGAGTTATGAGAGCAGAACCTTGCCTTCGAAAGTAGCACACAGAAGCACAATAACATTGTACGAACTCTGCAAGCTACTGTGAGATAAGTGATAATACTATGTTGCTATGTGCTTGGTGAGAATCTGATTAAATAAATGCATAAATTATGTAAAGTATTGACGGTCAAAGCAGTCATGTGTTAAGAGAACACACCGCTGTGAAATGCAAACAAAGGCAATGATGTGAAAACAATGGTCAAGGAGAGTATACCAAAAAAAAAGACTTCCTAGACAGGAAGTGGTTGTATCTTGCCAGGTCGTGGCACACTTAAACACACAGCACTTTTGCTCTGATTTTCCTATGTCGGCCACTATAGGTGTATATAATCCTCTTAACTACAGCCAGATGTGCAAAGACATAAAGTGGGAAAAACCCCTCACTTCATGAGCCTTTTATACTTGTAGGAATGTGATATGCAATGCATACTCTCACCATATTAAGGCTACCGCTACCTGCCAACACGTGCAGACTGCAATGCAAGTATAAGTATAAACAGGGGACGCCTGACAGCAGTCACCAGGTCGAGTTAACCCGTATGACCTTTCCTCTGCCGCTAAACCCTCAACATGTTGGCTCTTTGGTGCCAAATGAGAAAACGGTGGAGCACAAGCGACAGGTGGAAACCCCTAACCTCAGTTCATGACCCCTTAAACCCCCTCCAGACCACATGCGTACCATTTCCCTTACAAGACTGCGAGATAACACAGCTTTCAATAGAACAATACTGAAAAAATTTGGTGACAGAAGGAACAAATGTCTTTCTTCTGTCGAGCATAATAGTGAGACAAATCAATAACAACCATGTAGGCTACATTCAACCACTTTAATATATGAAATATTAATGAGGCTTGTTGCATGCTACTTATGCGTTCGTACACACAACATATTATAAAGCAGGTTTTGTAAACGGTTGCAACAGTTCATACATAGTAGCTAAAAGCAACACGTGTCAGTGAACTTACTATTTCTGCAGCGAGGATAACCCCCTTTTGGGTCCTCACGTAATTTTTCAGCTTCTCCAAGCAGTTGGCACCGGAGCTGGACGCGGTAGAATCAGCCATTCTGGTAACTACTATCTTCTCGACGTATATACACCGACTGTATGTTTGTGTGTTAGAGCCTCGTCGCCAGCAACCGATGAAAGGAAAAGAGTTCTCCCGTTAACCGTTAGCGCGTTTTGGGGGTTTTTTTTCTCTCCTTCCACTCGGATGAATCAACTTCTCCGATGTAAAAAACGTCTCCTGGTTGAGCTCAGTCACGACCACAGAAGCTCTGTGTGTGAAGAGGGAGGGTCTGAGGAGCTGACAGTGGGGCGTTGGCTCTCACTTTTCTCCAGAGGAGCTGCTTCTTGTGCCGTTGGCACTGTGGCACCACTATGGCGAGCTGCCTTCAAGCGCTCCTCGTAAACTCCAAAGACCTGTTGCGAACGTTGTTGCGTTAGTGGCGTATGTTTTTGAGCTGATTTTCAATGGTTGGTGGTGGTGGAGGACGAACTCAAGTACTGCACTTTACACTTCTGCTCAGTGGTGGAGGAAGTAATCGTTTACTTATGTAAATATTGCAAAACCATGGTGGAGAAATAATTCATGCATCAAAATCGTACTTATAGTTAGAGTACTAGAGTACAATACTTGAGTAAATATTATTTTCACCACTGCTGATCAAGTGAAGATGGGCTTCCTTGAGTTGCAGCAATATTCGAGTATATATGGATGCTAGTTAAGGATTAAGTTTAAATAAGCTACTACAACATTTAAGTGCTTACTTGTTAATGCATCAGTAATTTTTGAGCCATTCTCAAAAATGAATACTTTTACTTTTGATATTTCAAGTGTATTTTGTTATGAATACGTGAGTACTTTTGCTCAACTACAACTTCAAAGGGCCGATGTAGGGTTTTTATTTTAAGTATTTTTGTAGTGAGGTATTAATACCTAATCTATTCAAATGAACTAACTCATTAATTTATAATGTGTATAATTTATAATGCATTTTTTCAGTAGTAACAGGCTCTGCCCATCTCTTAAATCTTGGTCCTCTTGGCATTATTTGTATGGACAAGTCTTTAAAATAATGAAATAAATTCAAATTTTTGGCAAAATGGGAGGAGGCCTTAGGAAGACATTTCAGTTAATACGCTCCCCGGCCTCCAGGGAGTGCCATGCAGTCCTCATCAAAACCACAGATGGGTCAAACTAACCTGTATACTGGCCCACAGCCTGCCTGACATGGGTGTTTAAGGGCTTACTGGAGTCAGCAATATAGGCCAGCTATAGAAATATCATCTGCATTTTTCTACGAAACAGTCTGCTACTATCACTAAATAGGCAAGCGTGTTCCAAGGTTTTATTACACCCGTGTTTGTGTTGCTTCGCTATGTTTTAGACAGTTTATTGTATTTTGTTTTAGTTAATCTCCTGCTATGATTTATTCATAAAACTGATAATCAACTTGAAACATATTATTATTACTCAACCCAGCTCATCGAAGTAAACAGACAGCCAGCCTATGAACAGAAGTACACATTTTAACCTGCAACAGAATAATTTCAAGTTTATTTCATTTTGTTTCACATGGATCCCATATAATAAGAATACAGCAGAATTTTGGAGTCTTGGATATTTTTTTTCTCTGACTTATCATTATCATAAATACTAATATGATTACATCATACACAATAAACACAGCACTATCCAAAGGCGTAGAGAGAGTATCACAAGACATCATTCACCACTAACAACAGAGTATATTTCATTTCAGCATATTTATAAGAGCTACAGTGAAAGAGAGAGAAAGACAGAGAGAAAGAGAGAGAAAAAACAGGTGGGGGGACTAGAGGAAGAGAGAAAGCAGGTGCTTCTACACGCCTCAATCAAAGAACCCTGATTTAAAACAAAAAAAAGTGAAACCAAGGCTGTGCAATGGATCAATATATACTGGAGATGGACAACAAGTCATCCTGATGAGGACTGTGGAAGCAAAACTACCAATCAAGACACATCTCTTACCATTTGGCAATCTTGTATATCCAAACAGAGGATTGGCAGTAGGACAGGTATTTTATATCTGGAAGGAAGTGATTATTACGGCACCTACTTTGTGCTTTGGGTAGAATATAGCAGAGCTGCTGTATGCGCTGAGCAGTAACCACGATGATGGATCAAAACATAGCACGGTGTTACTGTGTAGTCTAACTTTCCTGCAGCTTTAAGCCTCAGCCTCTCAAACATGTTTAGGAATGCTTCAGGATATAAGGATGCATGCAGTAAATTCACCCTCCGAAAGAGAAGAGATGAAGAAGGATCGAGGATGCAGGAGGAGTACATGTGGAGTCATATTGTTCAGACCGCCTCGTAATAATATGTGTTGTACTATGCAAGGTCTTTAATATACTTTATTCTCATTTGCCGACTAAATGTTAACGTGTGTATGTAGGTCACTGATTACAGTGTGATAGAAACACCGGTTAAAAAACTATATGACTCTGTCTTACAACTTTCCGGACCACATAACAGGCGATCAAAACAGGACGAGGGTTCATAGACAAAATTAGTCTGATGCCATTACATAAATCCAAACAAACAAACAAACACACACGTCGCTAAATCTGTTGCTCACTGGCCCCGATTCACAATTTTCATACTGATAGCACACTATAGCAGTTTTTGAAACAGCACAGCAAATATGAGATGCTACCATGCTCACTAATTTTCGTGACCCTATGCAATTTTTTATATTACATGTCAGGATTTAAAATGTTCTGTGTATCACAAGAGTTCATCCTCACTTGACAGTGATATTTGATGAATAAATGTATATAAAAACATAAATAAAGTTGAAACAACCTACTTAAAACCCACTACTATCATCTATTCACTATGTTATAATAAATTACTCTTACTCTCACTGTTTATATTAATTATTTTCTTTCAACATTTGCCATCATATTTTGAGCAGCCTTTAGCCCCTTTCTTAAATCCTGTCAGTGATGCTGATCAAATGAGAAGAACAAAAACGTGAAAAGATGTTTATAGATTCTGAGATGAATAAATTAAAAACTTATGGTGTGAATAATTTAAGGGGATTGAAGGGCAAAGGCTAAACTATGTGAGCTCCTAAACAGAACCAAAGTAAATGCAATTGAATAACTCTGTGCTCAACATTTGTTGTATAACAACTTTTATGGAGTGCACAATTATTCAACTGTGTACATATAATCATATATATATCAGCATGTTGATATTTACACAGCACAGACAAATACATTCTCCCAAGTTAAATATTACTACAACTTTTTTTCCCCATAAATGTAAGTCTTTTCCATTACAAGATTTCAGTTAAATGTTCGCCAACGAATGTTTTGGTATTTGTATTCAAGTTTTTCTCGTATAACCAAACAGACAATCCTCTGTTGTCTTCTACAGTTAAATACATCACGAGAATAAACATCATGTTACAGCAAAGACCCCATTCCCCCGGTAGTGTCCCCCTCCCCAGGCCTCACCAGTTTCTGCCCTCCATGCCTCCCTCCCTCCGCCTGTCAACTCACAAATACACAAACAGACAAACAGAGGAGTGTGGAAATGCAGGTGGTGGTCGAGAGCCACACTCCAACATCACAAGCTCAACCTGGGTAGAGGGAGAGAAGGTAGAAAAGAGAGACAGAGACAAAGAGGGAAGGAAAAATATTAAACACACAGCAAACATATGATCATCTTAATGAAATTCAAGAGAGTGAAGAGGATACATCAGACCGGCATTGCATCAATGCCTAGGCTACGCCCCATTTTTGGGGAAAGAATTGCTGCTGTGTAGTGGGATTACAATCCTAACACACGATAAATTGCATTGACAGCTATAGGATCTTGAGTTTTCTATCCCACAAAAAGGGGTGCGTCCTTGACATTTTACGTAGTAAATTGACAGAAGAAAAGCCGAATCAAATAAAAATGGATGTTGGTGTGTCATCTGCATAGAAGTAGAACTCCGCCCATTACCTTCTAATCATGTGCCATAGAAATAGCAAGCCAAATAAAATATTGACATTAATGTTAGGTTGATATTCAGCAGATATCATTGTATGCCTTGTAAAAACACCGTTACACATGTAACCCTGAAATTGTGCTTGAAATAAAGAATACCTTAGATCATTACCTCAAAGGCGTCCAGTATAGTGACCTATTTAAACATAACCACTCCATAAGTTCTACATATGTTTACACTCACCATCCTGCAGCTGTGGTTTGGCTGGACAGGCTCACATTTGATTAGCGAAGGAGGTGGGCTGCGGCTGCTGCTCATAGCCCTGGCTGTATCCTCCTTCCTCATTGTAGCCCTGCTGCCCGTATTCGGGCTGGTACCCTCCCTGGGAGCCGGCGTAGGGGTCCTGCTGAGCGTAGCCTCCCTGGGCAAAGGCATCGGGGGCGGGCTGCTTTTCCTGTGATGGGACGTATGTTCCAGAGAGGGCAGCCATCCAGCCGGTCTCCTTGAACACGAACCACAGGTTTCCGATCCACAGGATCAGGTTGATGAAACCAAAAGCCTGTGGAGCAGAGAGGCGTTTGGAGTTAAGATATTTACTCTTTCTGATCTCATATCAACTCTTCATACAGCTTGGTTCAGTGTGACGCATCGGGGTCCTACCACAGAGGTGTTGAGGCCGGAGACCTTGGGGTCGTGGACTTCACGGCAGCGAGTCTCTTCTTCGTCACAGGCTGAGATGAGAGTGATGACCCTCTCTGGATCGGTGGCTGTTTTCACATCTGACAGGCCTTTAGCCCAAGCACATGAACAGACCAGCCACATGAAGGCAAATACCGCAGACACAACAAAGTCCTGGGGATCAGCAAGACAACATGATCACTTTTTATACCAACAGCTTAAGGAGGTATTTATTGTAACACCAGTTGCTGCACTTGTATCATATGTATAAGGCATCAACAAACTCACAATCTGGGCCCCCTTGCAGTTTTCACGGTACTTCTCCAGTACGAAACAGTATGCAGAGAGGGCTGCCATTGAGTAGAGGAAGGAGAAGACAGCGATGGTGACGAAGAACTCAGCTGAGGAGGAGTAGTCCCCGACCAGGAATAGACGCTCTTTGTTTCCTCCCTTACAGGTCGGGGAATCAAAGTAAACCTGATGGAGCCTGAGAACAGAGACACAAAGACGGAGAGAGAAATGAGAAACTGCAAAAAGAGCTAAGAGAAAAAAAGGTTAAATAGTGACACAGTTCTTGTGATATCAATGAACAGTGTCTACGATTTTTTGCAGTTTTCATTGAAAGTGGATTAATGCAATACATAACAAATACTGTTGAACAGAGCATTTTAAAGGAGTTCCAAATTGTGGGGAACACATTTATTCGCTTTCTTGCCAAGAGGTAGATGGGGAGATCAACACCACTCTCATGTTTGTCAATTAGATATGAAGCTACAGCCAGGGGATGTTAGCTTAGCTTAGCATAAAGACTGGAAACAGGGAGAAACAGTTAGCCTGGCTCTTTTCAAAGGTGACAAATTCCACCTACCAGAAGCTCTGAAGCTCACTGTTAACCTTATATTTCTTTAATTTGTATAAAAACCAGAGTAACGTGTAAAAACATCACATGGTCCAATGAATGGTCAGCATATGATCCCCGGTCAATACACAACATGTTGTTTTTACTCTTTAGTAGACCTTTTAAGCCGAGTCAGGCTAGCTATTCCCCCTGTTTCCAGTATTTATGCTAAGCTAAACTAAGCTAATAAACTACCTTCATATATAGCATAGACATGAGAGTGGTATTGATCTTCTCATCTAAATCTTGGCAAGAGAGCAAATGTGAAGTGTATTTCACAAAATGTTGAACTATTCCTTTAATTAACTAAAGGCACTTGTCCTTTTTTACCACATAGTCTACTGAGCTTACTAACTAAACTATGCTATTGTATAAATAGGAATACAGGCCTATATTTCGTAATTCCTTGCAATGGTACCAATTTATCAAATGTATATAATTCATAATTTATATCATGCATTTTCTTATAATTGCTGGTATATAATTAACAACAAATGCCTTTTAGCACAAGTTGCATGGTTGTTCTAAAAAATAGTTTGACGTTGGAATGAATCAAATCTTAAAAAGCTAATTTCAAAATGAGACCATGCTATATCATACTAATTGGCTTCACCATCAACAAGATGAACTTGCTCCTGAGTAATCTATTTTGATACTTGTGCTTAATATGTATTTTACAGTTTGTTTGGTACCAACAGTTGAATTTCTTTCCTATTTCTACTACATTGGTGAAAGTGACTTGTGAGGTGAGACGTACCTGAACGGATATTCAAATTCTACTTCTATGCCTAGGTCACTCTCCGTCCGGTTTTTACACTCCACGCTCATCTTGAACATGCCAGAGTAACTGCCACATGTCGAGAAGGCGAAGATTGCAAAGATCTGCAGGAGAAAAAAAGAGGAAGGAAGAGACACGGTGAAAATGTGACATCTCACAGACAAACTGTGAAAGAACCACAGAACACACAGATCGATTACTCCAAATCACACTTGGACGATCACATGCTTTAATTACAAGAGTACTCGGCTTTAGGTTTAGGATAATGCAGCCGCGTAAACAAAAAGCTCCAGTGACAAAACAGGTGACAGCTCCATTTACACTGGAAGCTGCAGATTGCTGCTTTCACCACCTCCAACGTCTCGAGCAGACAGATATTCCACCAATCATAGCGAGTTGATAAATAAAAATGCACACAGAGTGCAAATCAATGCAGCGTTATCACCGGGCTACACGGCAACGGCTGCGCCTGTTGCCATGGTTACCCTTACGATTGGTTTTCTGTACATGTTTCCTCGTAGTACTTTGTGGTACAACGGTGATCGTGCATTCGGTCAGGGTCTGTTACTTCAGATGCACACAGCTCAGTCTGGTTCTTCAGCTCCTACCAACGTCAGCGGCACAAACAGACATGCGTGGAGATTTACACACACACACACACACACACACACACACACACACACACACACACA